TTCTCCAGTGTCCCTCTGTCATCTCTCTCCCTCTCTCCCTCTCTGTCTGTCTTTTTCTCTCTCCCTGTCTCTTTTTCTCTCTCTCCCTCTGTCTACCTGTCAGTCTGTCTCTTTCTTTCTTTTTCACCCCCTCTCGCCCTGTCTATCAGTGTGTCTGTCTGACTGTCTGTTGGTTTTCTCTGTCTGTCTTTCTGTCTGTCTGTCTGTCCATCTATCTGTCTGTCCATCTATCTGTCTGTCTCTTTCTTTCTTTCTTTTTCTTTTTCACCCCCTCTCGCCCTGTCTATCAGTGTGTCTGTCTGACTGTCTGTTGGTTTTCTCTGTCTGTCTTTCTGTCTGTCCATCTATCTGTCTGTCTCTTTCTTTTTTTCTTTTTCTTTTTCACCCCCTCTCACCCTGTCTATCAGTGTGTCTGTCTGACTGTCTGCTGGTTTTCTCTGTCTGTCTGTCTCTCTTCTTCTCCCCCTTCTCTCGCTCCGTTTTTTTGTCTGTCTGTCTGACTATCTCTGTCTCTCTGCCTCTCTGGCTCAGTCCGTCTATTATAATAATAATAATAATAATAATTGTATTTATATATAGCACATATCCATGCTCAAGAGCATGCTCTATGCGCTTTACAACTATCATTACCCCAGCAGACCCTCTGAGAACACTCAGAAACATACTCAGCTTCCGCGAAAGCATACAGCGCAAGCTGCGGATTTCACGCGCTCAAACACTATCAAACTGACAAGATCGTTCACTGTCTATAGACGGGTGCCCATTTCCACCTGGGGGAAGTGAGGAAAATTTGTGCAAAGTGCCTTTCCCAAGGACACAACGTCGGGCCCCTGACGGGATTCGAACCCACGACCTAACGGTCGCGAGTCCGAGAGCTTAACCACTGTCTGTCTCTCTCTCTGTGTGTCTGTCTTTCTCCCCTCTATAGCTCTGTTTATTTGTCTGTCTGTCAATCTGTTTCTCTGTCTCAGTTTCTGTTAGTCTGTCCGTCTGTCTCTTTCTTTCTTTCTTTTTCTTTTTCACCCCCTCTCGCCCTGTGTATCAGTGTGTCTGTCTGTCTGCTGGTTTTCTCTGTCTGTCTGTCTGTCTCTCTCTCTTCTTCTCCCCCTTCTCTCGCTCAGTCTATTTGTCTGTCTGTCTGTCTGACTATCTCTGTCTCTCTCGCTCAGTCTGTCTGTCTCTCTGTCTGTCTGTCTCTCTCTCTCTATCTTTCTCCCCTCTATAGCTGTTTATTTCTCTGTCTGTCAATCTGTTTCTCTGTCTCAGTTTCTGTCTGTCTGTCTCTATCTGTCTGTCTGTCTCTGTCTCTCTCTCTGTCTCTGTCTCTCTCACACACACATATATATTTACATATATATATATATAATATTCGTCATCCTTTGGAAATCGAAAGAAACTCAGATATTGATTTAAACAGGTGCAGTTTATAGCAGAACACCATTGACACTTCGTGCTAACCGCAGCCATGCTTGTCTGCGATCAACGAAAATGCCTTGAACAATAGACGCAGTTTGTTTTGTTTACGGCGCGTTTCTCCACGATCAGTTGGTGACCCAGATACGCGCATCCAGGCGAAGTGCCGTCTCTCTAGTAATACTGTAAACTCTCTGGTGGTAGTGAAAGCGAAAGTAGATCCAGATTTTCCCGATCAACTTAAGTATCACTCATACACTTCCGTTTGTCGCCATAGCCGCCTGAAACGTACTCTTGCTCTCAGATCAGGAAAAGCCAAATGATTGCGACCGACAAAATGAAGTAAGGGACGTTATTGGATTTGGTTTTCAAATATTCGAGAACTTTTATGTATTTTCCCGGGTCTTTCCCGAGGCAACTTACAGATTTCCTCAAATTTCCTTTTATTGCCAATGTTGATCCAACCATTTCCGCCGCAAAAAATGTTTTTATGGCAAAAATCCGACTTATCAAACGAAAATTTCCGACTTCCCTGGCCACCCTGCATTAACAAATCGATCTATAAATTACACCCACATCCGAACCAGGAAAAAAAAGCACTGTTTTATGACAAAACCATAACTTCCACTAAGGGGGCATCCTTTGGCTCACTCTAAGGTGCTGCTGCAAAAAATCGCTTCAGTTGTAAGGTTCAACATAAAAATTGACATGACCAACAGAAAATTTTGTCTTGCAGCAATTAACTTAATTCTAATTTCGTTTCCAAAAGATTTTTTCCTTTCTAAGATAAGAGAAAGATTTTGCAAATTTGTTTCATTTTCTTTAACAAAACTTCATGCAATTTGGACACTAGAAGAAAATATTAATGGATCTCTCCGTGAACAGTACCTACCTAACAAAGTGCACAACTAAATTCAATAAAATCTTAAAATCTCCACTTGTGGTAAATCAATTGCTAAAACCCACACAGTTTCAATCTTGTTTAATTGACGACATCCCATAACAAATTTTCTCATAAACCTCTGGCTGAAAGGAAATTTTCTGTGAAAGCCCCAAACTTCCATTTTCACTCTTAACCCTCCAAGTGCCTTGTACAATGTGCTATGGTACCAAGGCTTATTTATGGTTTCAAAAAAAAAAAAAAAAGCAAAATAGAAAACATCATATGAGGTACTGATAACTATGCATTTTCTGAAAGCTTACGAGTTGAAGAACATTTTCACATAACTGCGGGTTAAAAAATAAATGTTTCAGTGACCTTGACAGTGACCTTCTGTCAGTGACAATGAATGTCAGATTGTATTTTGTTTACAAATGTGTCCCTATGTCCCTCAGCTTATTTTTATGAATATAAGACCCCTTTCAGCATATTCTACAGGTTATGGAAGTGACCCAGAGGGTCGAGTCATGACACCTGGAGGATTAACATCAAGGTAGCAAATTAAAAAAAGACAGTTGTTCTTGTATAAAGAAGCATTTAGCTGTTGACACTTTTTTCAACAGCATACACAAAAGCACACATGTGGCAGACTTACAATGAGTACTTCAGGGCATCATCCAACTCCATGATAGCAGCCTGGTTACCACAGCGGTAACAGTAATTTGGAGCACTGAATATAGTTACGACATTCCTGTCATGACACCAGTTGTAGCCCTGAAATGATCATTTGAAAACAGATTAGAAGAAGAAGCATTAAAGTAAAGTGGGTGGTTGGCGGGTGCTCTGGTGTGGTTTGCTCCTTCTTTCCTATCAAACATCTATTGTCCTTATCTCCCCTTGTTCTTTTTTATGTTTGTTACTCTCTTGTAACACCTCTAATCTTCTGGCGCTCATATGACCATATGCAGTTGCAAGCGCCGTAAAACCTCTACTAAAACTAAAAGTAAAATACAATCTTCAACAAGAAGACAAAAGACAAATGGAAAAACAGTTTTTTTAAAAAGCAACCTAGAGCCAGAGGGAGTATTAAGAATCACTTCCAGCGCCTCCATTCATTGTTTGAAGACCAGGCGCTTAAACTTGTTGGTGTTCACCTCTCATTCAATAGGTACCGCAAACTGGCCGTGCCCCCGTGGCGCAGTCATGGAGACCAAAACCCATATTTTTACCCTCCTAAAACGCCGTGTAATCATGCATACATACAGACACTTGATATATCAGAAGAAAGATGAGCTTTTCCTCTTTTTAGTGGTATTATTTATTTGAATCAACGATTCTTTTGAAAGCAAAATTGTGTGGGATAAAAGACACCATTATCGAGGTTTTCACGGTCGCGGCCACGCGTTTCGTGTATTGACTTTTAGAGTGACCTCGGTTGAACAGGAACGGGGAGCGTATGGTATTAAATACTGCAATCTGATTCGTCGATATTTCAAGATGAGAAGACGCTCTTTCCGGTTATATATTTCTAAAGACTGTCCTTATAGAATTAATAGAAGAGATTTGCGTGTGAAAACTTTCAGTGCTGTTTTTTTATGGAACTAGTGATCGGACAGATAACGGAAATATATCGGCAGAAAGCCCATTCATTCCTCTTCAAGAATAACACAGCCATTATACGCAAATAAACACCGGACGCTCCCAGTCGGCTCGATAGCAAGGCACCATCGCCCCGGTTTCATATAAAATCCTCTCCTTCCCTTCAGCGCGGCCCGGCGCGCAGCCGATAAGCCGGTGGTCGCGAGTGGTGATTTTAACCTCCCCTTTATTTCTTGCCGTTTTGGTCAAAAAGCCATGTTTACGTCAATAAATTTCCATCTTCTTGTTATTTGATAGCCCTGAAAAAATTTAGCTTGTTCTCTATGTGCATAGGGGTGTGTCTACAAGTTTTTGTAAATGTCCATTCAAATTTTAAAATGTTGTGACATCTCAAAGTGTAGACATTTTGCAATTAAAAAACTGTAACAGTTGAATGATAAATTCGATAAGGTAGTGCAGTTAACTATGAAATCAGAGGACTTTGAAATTTCATTTTGTGTTACCTACATTCAAAGGTCCCGGGTTCGAATTCAGGTAGCGACAGGAAAAGTAGACCTGCATGTGAGCCTCAACCAGATTGTCTGAAAATTTTGCGCAACCCCCCCCCCCCCATTAAGAGCTTCTGTGGGTGTCATAAGGAAGGACTTCCGAGTAACGAGCAACCACCCCAACAAACACAATAAAAAAGAGATCCAACCCTACCCCAAAAAAGAACCTGCTACAAGCCTCATGTAAAAAGGCCAGCACAATTCCAAAATTTAAAAATTTTTAAAATTAAAAAACCACACTCCAAAACAAACAAGGCTTACAAGGAGCATAATATGGCCTACATCTACATATTGTTAGTATAATAGGGTTTGATACAATAACACAATAGAATTGGAATATGAATCCTCCATATAGATCTAGTAATCTAAATAAATCTACCTCTAGATCTAGATCTTGTAGAACAAGTGAATAGGATCTAGGAATAGGCCTTGAACTAGAAATCCGCATTCGATTCCTAACAGACGGACTAAGCTGAGTCTAGATTCTAAATAAATAAATAATTCACGCACCTGATGAAATGCTTTTTACCAACATTAATATTACAGCACAACCTATAATTGGGTTTGACACAATAGAATTGGAATATGAATCCTCCATTGAGGTCTATAATGATCTATATAAATCTAGATCTAGATTCTATTAGAACAAGCGAGTCGGACTTGAATGAATCCACACGATCTGAACAATTGAATTAGTCAACAAAACGAAATTCAAAATGGCCGCTCGAGCACGAAACTGAAAGTAGATAATTTAGGTCGTCGTCCTTTTTCGTACTCGCATTTCTACTCAGGTTCCGTCAATTATGTCGGTAACGCCGACGTCGGCAGTATGACGAAAGTGCCGACAAAGCCGACGGGAGAAAAAGGGGGCGCTGGCAGTCGGCCAGGCCTCGCACTTCGCACATTGACTGGTACAGGTGGGCCTAGCGATATCATCGGCCGGCTCGCGGGTCGGGTCGCGATTGTCGGATTTTAGACGATTGTCGGCAAACATGCAGGTCTAGAAAAGTTATCTTCTTTAAATTTGTCTCCTTTCACCCCCTTTTCTGCTCTCTAGCGATATTCTGTCTGCATTCGTCTCCACTTTCTGCCCCCTCATCTCCATTGCCCCCTGTTCTGGGCTTCTGACTCTTTCTGCAGCCTTTCTACTGCTACTCCTTGGCTCCTTCTAGCTGCTGTCTTTCAGCCACACCCCTGATCTTCTGGAAGGAAAGATCTACACCTCGCCTTCTCGGACAAGGGTGAAAAATCTCGGAGGTCCCGTGTGAAAGTTGCACATATTAAAGATCCCCTGGTGGTCCAAAATCAATAAGAGAAGGACCTGGCCACCATTCGTGCAAAATTCAAAATTTCCTACCAATTGAAAATGTTTAATGTGTCCTGCGCACTCATGTGACCTTGCAGTTGTGAGCACTATAAAACACTTTTTTTTTTAAACCCTCTTGTTTTTTGGGTGATTAGCGATCAATTTCTTGACCAGCTTCTGAGGGCTACCCACTCATCGTGAAATAACCAGGTTCTCTTAACAGTGATCAAAGCTTGTATAGTTTACCCATGCACACCTACAGTACATCTTACCTAATCTAGATCTACAATGCAATATTGTCAATAATAACATATATAATTATCTCAATCCGAGACTTAAGACCAATGCTATATCTACATTCAAGGCCCAATGAAGGAAGGCCCTTGTTCACAAGGAACTAAATTGGAAGCACAAAAGCAAATAGACAGCTCAGTGTAAGATTCCCTCATGAGTCACACTTCAAAATGGCATATGGCCAAGTCTTACGCTAAGCACTCGAAAAAGGTAAGTCAATGCACGTGTCCTGACTAGTACTCATTTATCAGGTCTTCCATACAAAAGAAACCGTCAGAAAACACAGGGGAGAAGTGAGACCCTGGGAATTTATACTTTGACTACTCCTCCCAATAACCACTCATTCCATATCAACATTATAGAGCTTCCAGCAGCCGATGTCATTTTTCGAGGATTTTCGGGTCCAGGGCAGAGCCCTGACAGGGGGTTGAAGGGGTCAGCGTCCCCTTTACATTTGAGAATTTTTGGTTTCAGGGCATCCTAAGTATGCCATTTCTGGCTATTCAAGCCTAAATTTAACAAGAAAATAAGTGAGAAAAACAACATACCTTGCATAGGCCTAGATCTACATAATTTTCTGCTTGTGTTAATCCATATATTTCCAAATCCAAAGCCATGCTTTCTCCCTTGTACCGATACTGTACATCCACAAATCTATAAAACTTGACAGTTAATGTTCAACTTTTTTCTGCTTGTGTTGGTTTGCACCATAATCATCATAAGGTGTAGATCTAGATTCAGAATCCAGTATAACAGCTTGACTTGATCTAGATCTAAATAACTGGACAGCTTATATCAACTAAAATCCACAACAATACTTACAAATAAACAAGTCTGGTAAAAAAAAAAAATCAAGCTCTCTTTAGAGTTTTCTTTTCTTGGAAGGCCCAAGATCGATAGATCTAGAACCACAATTGGCATTTCTTCCTCTTGTTTACAGAGCTGGTGCTCTGATTCTTGAGCTTTAGAAAGTGAAAGTGAAAGACACTGTCTATACTTTCAAATAAAAGAGCACTTCCGGTATGGGTTGGCTTTTGTTGACTATTGGTAATAATGGAAATTTTTTATTTCGCATTTTTGAAAATAATTTTTTTGGGGGGCCACAAATTTTTACGGAAATTTTTCCATTTGCGGAATTCTGGTAATTTGCGGAAATCCGCAAAATTGCGGAAGACTGGAAGCCCTGAGTTCTACATGACTAAAAGAAACAGAACAAAAGAATACCTAAACCTATTTTCAACCATAATGATCCCAATCAAGATCCAGCAGGAAAGGAATTATCAACTAAGGAAAAATCTAGTTAACTCCAACTCAAAATGATGAATCCGATTAGTGTGCATTGGGTATAATGTGCAACTGTAGTAAACTAACAAGAAATAAGTATTTGCTTTTCTCAAAAAGGACAGTGAGATAAATAATTGACAGGAAAAAAACGGAAAGCACTGAAATTCGTAAGCCACTTTAGCAAACCTAAAGGGAAAACTACCTTATGTATCATAGACAAATTCGTTTTCTAAAGAATGATGCAGAATCGCCACTACATTCCTGAGAGTTCACTTTAATGTTTATTTGACCTATGAAGAGGACAAAAAAAGAGCTCAAATATTATAAGTACAACAGCTGCAACAAACAACATGGTGCAAAGGCATGGATATACAATGAAAAAACAATATCTTTCTCTGCAATAGTTTCCATCCCAACTGCCCAGAAGTTCCTTCCCAAAAAATTATTCAAACCCACCTCCATAACCAGCTGATGAGCTCGAGAGACTAGTGTCAGACCATTGCTGTGATTGAAAGTCTCTGAGATGTCTTGTCCAAATGTGTAGCCAGCACCTCGAGGAGAAATACCCCAGCCGCCTCTGTCATCCGGGTCAGACCACAACAAATCACACATTGGACCCTAAAAGATTTTACAAAAAAAAAGCAACATATAATTCACAGGATTTGTCAAACAGAACCAAACATGTCTAGTCAGTCTCTCAAGCATATGTGAGCGTACCTGGAGAAAGGTACCAAAGACGCATTTGCTCAAACCGAGATATCAGGCTTCAAAGGTCAAAAACTATGTTCCATTAATAAAGATTCTTTAGCCATTCATATATCGATATTTTACAAGGAATTGAGTTTCTTTTACTTTAAAATACATTTTTAAAGATGTTTATTGCTATGTTGCATAATCCCCAAAAACGTGTAATAAAATTGGTTTTCCGAGTAAACATCGCAGATGGTTTCTCTTGTCCATTCATAAAGTCAACCTAATCACACTGCATACCAAACTTAGGTAATTCACTCCCCTCTCTAGTGGAGGGTAGTGCGCATGAATATCTTGAACACGTAAACAAAGCCAAGCTTTGCGCATCCACACCCTTTCATTTTTTTGGAAAGCAAACATGTATCGCTTTTTTCTGCCCTGCGTAAACCTAGCCTAGATCTATTTCTTGAAAATTGTTGTTCAAGGTGGTGGTGAATTTGTTCAAGGTGGAGGTGAATTTGTTTTAAAGACGTAATATCAAAACTTTGAAGCTGTTCTTTGTCTTAGCTGCTTTTTAAAGTTGGTATGTGAGTAGCGAATGTGTTGTCAGGTCATCTCGAAGCGTAGATTTATCTATTCGAAGTAGAAACATAGGGAAACTTTAAAGCCGTTTTTCTCGAAACTTTGTTTCCGTACTCTGTCTTACAAAACCACCCATATCTCAAAAAACTACTGAAGATATCTTAAAAATTCAAAAAGCATATTGTTCAGAAATGATCTCTGTACATGAAAAGGCAAAACAACAGGATTCATCAAAATGCGTCATTTGGTATCTTTCACCAGGGACACACACATATTAACTTTTCTTGTCAATTTTTATATGTAACAGAGGCAAACTAATTCCTAATGTACCAAACACTTAAAATATATTTTTTGTTGTAATTTGCAAGGTGCATCATGTACACAAATTGTATTTTACAAATACAACTTAGCCGTGTCAAGCAAAAATCTCATTGAAGATGTATACCAAGTCACAAAAGGACCCCAGGGTCCAGTGACAATATCTGAACATCCTACATCAAAACAATACCAAAAATGTTTAAAATAAGAAAATGAACCAGACAGGAATTCTGGAAGTCCTAAAGGAGCATTTATGAAGCCTGGTGGTGGGTGAAAGCTGTTTCATTGGAAATAAAGAAGAAAGCTTGTATTTTGGCCATCAGTGCAGAAACATATAATGAAGAGTGAGTTGACAAGGAAAGTATGACTAGACAAAGGGGTTTTCTCCTCAATTCAAGCAATCCGACATAAATTTTGTTGGATGGCCATAGAATCATTTTACAATATTACTCAAACGTACAAAAGGATAACATAAAAAAAATATACTCACCTCATGTGGAACCTCTTGAATTCTATCTAAAGCCCTAATATGGTCAAGAGTGTCTATAGATGGTGAAAGACCGCCATGTAAACAAAATATCTGTGAAAGAGAAAAATTATATATTAAATCCTCAAAGTACATCATAACACAAAATCAGAATACAAGATCTACAGTTTTTGTTTTCAATCTGAGTAGCTATTTTTCAAAGGCTATAAAATACAATAGATAGCATGAAACCCTTCCCACTTTCAATAAGCAGGAAGAAAAAAATAAAAATAAACTTGAGGTAAGAGGTAAAACTTGAATGCTTATTCAGCTTTACCCAGGCCAATCCATTCATTCTTCAATTTGAACTTATCTTCTCAGGGCATGGGATGATCACTTTTTATGAATTCTTGGCAGTCTTTGGGATGAACTTAGAAAACACATAAATTTTGACATAGATAACATATAACCATGATGCACCCCAAATCTTCGACAGGAACATAACACAAACAGTAAAGCGGTAAAAAAAAAAAAAAAAGATATATACCATCTTCAATAAAAACATTCAGATATGCAGGGCTTGAATTACGTGTTCAGGAGGGCAGGCAAAAATTTCCTCGGTGGGGCCTAAAAATCAGAGGGCACCGAGGCAATTTTCTAGGGCACCAAGGCAAAAATTATAGGTGATCATTTTGTTGATTAAAGTTGGTAATACTGGATTCTATGGCGTCGGTGGCCTAGTGGTTAGGCTCTCGGACTCGCAACCGTAAGGTCGTGGGTTCGAATCCCGTCAAGGTCCCGACGTTGTGTCCTTGGGAAAGGCACTTTACACGAATTTTCCTCACTTCACCCAGGTGGGAATGGGTACCCGGCTATAAGACAGCGAAAGATCTTGTCAGTTTGTTAGTGTTTGAGCGCTTAATCGGCTGCTTGCACTGTGTGCTTCCCAGGAAGCTGAGAATATTTCGGAGTGTTCTATGGTCTGCTGGGGTAATAATATAGTGTAAAGCGCATAGAGCCTGCTGTTGAGCGGGGATATGCGCTATACAAATGCTATCTATTATTATTATTATTATTATCGTGCATCACAACGTTTATATAAATAACAATACAGTTTATTCTTGCTCTCAACAAAAGTATAGTATCGGAAAATTTGTAAAATCATGAATGAAAACTAAGTAAATCACTAGATCAGAATATAGAAAATATGTTGGCCCACACAATATAGAAAAAGACTGGCTTACTGTTTGTCCCTTATGGGAAAACACAAGTGATTTCAAAAAGTATCATCAGAGAAGATGATTTCAGGGAATAGTGCTGTATTATCAGGACGTCTATTTGTCAGACACATCTCTTGCTACTTGGCTATGCAGGGTTCTGGATTGAATTCTCTGATCTCAGGACCATTGGGAAAGCATACCTCTGGAAAGCAAATGCCTTCAGTCACCAAAGATGCGCCTTTTCAAAGAAAATAGAGATTACATGAGCCAAATGAGACAGATTGGGAAATTTCCTTGCTTTTTTCAAGACTGAACTTGTCTTGTTCTCACTCTCACAGGTAATACACCTGACTTTCGGAGAGAAACATGAGCCACTCTTTCTTTATTTTCAGTGTTGAGCATCCTTGGTGTTGAAGCACAGTCTCATAATGAGCTATCAAGTCATCCATCTGTGTCTCACCATATTCTTTCAACTCATCCATTTTGTCAGTTTCAGGTACATTTGTCCTGCTAAATATCCCTGCACTCTTCAAAACTTTATCTTCTGATGTGCCGGAAAATCTTTCTTCCAAGCACAGCACCAGCTTATCCAACACATCTTTCATGTTTGTAATCATCACACTTGCACTTTCTCTCACATCTGTAGTCTTCTTTTTCATCCAGATCTTTTTTCTGACACTGCTGAGGTTTGGTTAAATTTGAGTGTGTTTGCACTTGCCATGACAAAATGGACACAATGGTCAAGCTGAGCAGTGTCTGACTGAAGCTTTGATGAGATTTCAGACAATTCTAACAGGACACTCTCTCTCTCTCTCTCTCACACACACACGAGTGTACCTTAAAAATTAAAAATAATCAATAATGCCCCCCCCCCCCCATCATTCCGGAGTCCCATAAAAGCGGGGCATTCAGACTTTGAATGAACTTTGGTGACCCCAACAACCGGTGCTCACACGATGCGGTACCTAGTAACTAAGGTTCACTGACCTGCCACGGCGGCGAACTCGACAAGATGCTTGTATAACTTTTTTCTTTTTTTCCCAAAAGTGACAGCACAGGGCAAATATTGATTTATTTTCATGGTGGTACATTTTTAAAAAAAATTTAAAAAAAAGGGCATGGCAAAAATTGCTGCGGTTAACCCTTTGAATTTAAGGGCACTACGGCAAATTGCAAAGGCACCAAGGCAAATTGCTGTGGTGCCGCGGTCTATTTCAAGCCCTGGATATGTACATAATGTTGACACCAGAAGCCAAAAACAACAGAGACATGAACTTGCTCTGCATGAAAGATAATAGTCTAGTAGTAGAATTTCCTATTTTTTCACTAACAATTAACATAAATATAAACCCATCTACTTGTAATGGCTCACCTGTCCATCAACAAGGGCTGTGAGAGGAAGGTAATCAAACAAGTCTGTGAAGTATTTCCATACATTGGCATTGCCGTATTTGCGCAGACACTCATCATAGAAACCATACACTTGGGTAATTTGGCGACTCTCGTGGTTACCACGCAGAATTGTTATTCTGTCCTTGAAACGCACCTGGGTATTACAAAGAAAATGAGTTAAAACACAACAACATGAGGATTGTACACTTCGGCAAACCAATACGAAGTAATGGAAGAAGTTTTACAGAGCATTCACACTTTACTGGTGAAACATTTAACAGCAGTCTACATGTGATGTTAACTCACTCACTGCCAGGCATTTCTCAGCTGGGTAACTGAGGAATGCCACGCTTTCGGTACCATTTTCAAAACTTCACTGTGAGCTTATTATTATTATGAGTACAGCATTGAAATTTTCCACAGACAATGACATTGATACATACTCAAATCCCAAAATTTTGTCATAACTTTACTGTGTGAAATTTTAAGAGTGTATACGTGGCAAAATCGTGAAAAATCTTTTTTTTTTTACATATAAACAATTACGGGAGTGGTACATTCAGTCAATATGCATGCCTTATAAATATCTTTGTCTCTGAACTAAATAGATGTATCAACTGATAAATGTTAAAAGAGTCACTATGAAAAGTGACAAATCTTATATAACTGGAAGGTCAGTCAGGTCTATATAACTTGGAAAGTCAGTCAAGTCATCAGTCCACACATCCAGAGCAGCAACATCAGGGTGTGTGGTTGTAGGACGGGGCATGGCCACTGGGGGAGGGGTGCCACCATTTGAAGTTGTCAGCTGTAATCCTATCTTTTGAGTCTAAATCTATGTTGTGTGATCTTCAACCTTGCGTGATGGGCCTGAACTGGAACCTGGAAGTGTCAGATCACTATCGCCACCATTGGTCTGAGTATGGGGAGCACCTGATTCTAGATCTAGAACACAATTTTCATTTTCACTTGTGTCTGCACCTCTTTTATTTCCTTTCCTATAATCATCAACTCTGTATGATGGTTCATCAAAGCTATCATCTGCAAAAAGATCTAAATCTGACCCTTCATTGACGAATGGGTCCATCAATTCAAATGTTCCGACCTTGGTGAGACGCCGTCGCCATCGTAACTGAGCGGTAGTAGTTTTTAGTTCATTTCGGGTGGGTTGGAAAGTCAGATTTTTAAGTAACATATTCAAGGGAAGTTACTGCACCAATGTGGAATCGAAACCAAACTGGATTATCTCGCATACTTCCGACTGCCAAGCCCAAAACACGTCGGGGAATGTTTGAAAAATGGTAGTAAAAATGTATCCGACGGGTTTCGGGTTTGGCAGGTAGTGGCCTACGCGTTCACCTGACAGGGTTCGGCATGGCAGGGAGTTAATCAACAAGCTTTCACCTTTTGTCATTCCTTACTCAAATAAATCAACATAAAAGCATAAAGTAGTTTTGAGGATGTCTAGACCTTTCAAAATTCTAAACAGCTCATCATGTCAAACTTTATCAATCAATGAAGCATAAATACAGAAGTTTCTGTGTTACAATACATCCTTCCGTAAACCTTGACAGGATGAATAAATATTGAATATATTAGCATTTCAGGTGCCCTTGTCCCTTGTCAGAAACAAAGGCAATGTCATAGGTATCATCTATAAATGTCTATTACACAAAAGAAGAAGTATGAAGTGTACCCCCCCCCCCTCCTTCTTATTCTAAATTTAGCTTTCTTTAGTATACACTATACACCTCTCAATATTCTTCACTGAGTGTAATATGTCATAGATACAGCAAAGCTCAAGAACAATGCATGTGCCCAAGCAGAGTATTGGGTTAATGAACAATGCATTGAATTGAAGGGAATGAGTTAATAAAGATCAATGGCCTCAAGTTACGTTCTGAAACAGCAGTTTTGTCATTGCGAGGGAGATAAAAAGGCAGACAGCAAAAAAGATGGGAAGCCAAATATCTTAGAGTGGACAGGCCATGACAGGAACCTCTTACTACAGAAAGCTGAGAACCAAGAGGAGTGGAAGAGGCTAGTTGCAAAATCTGCAGTGGTGCCTCAAACAGTCACCTAGACAATAGGATAGGTGAAAGTGAAGTGATTTAGAGCATATCTGAACTTTGAGTAGGTGGCTTACCAGTATGCTAACTAACTTCCATGTATAGAACTACAATAAACTGTAGCATTGTACAGCATTAACCATCAAAGCATGGAATGAGATATGTTTCTTGGTGACAGTTCTGACCAAACAATGAGACCTGATATATTTAATGGCTCATAACGTTACAATGTTCTCCAATGTAATGGAAAAGGGAAACTTCTGCAGCCTTTTGGGTAAATCAAAAATCTTAAGACTTGAAAGGTTAGTACTCAGGATTTAAACAATTCACTTACTTTCAAGGTGACCAGTAATGATACTGTCTCTACAGAGTAATATCCTCTGTCCACATAATCTCCCATGAATAGGTAATTCGTGTCTGGTGATTTGCCTCCAATACGGAACAATTCCATCAAATCATGGAACTGACCGTGGACATCCCCACAGACCGTTACAGGGCATTTCACTTCTTGCACATTTGATTCCTTTGACAGAATCTCTTTTGCCTGAAAGAGAAGATTGGAAAACATTAATCACATGTGACGCCACAAGAAATAAATATATAAATCAATTCGCAGTTCTCGGATGACAGAGGTGGATGAGATATTTCATTTTTTTACCTGTTCAGGAGTGTCATTATGTGTGTACAATATTTTTTTTAAAAGCAATTACACACCAGGATGTAAAATTTGAAGTCGTAAGATTTAACACAAGTATTTCATTCATAAATATGAATTGTTCTCTTCAACAAAATTGGTAATTTTACAAAGGCTTATTTTTTATTATTTTTATTATAGAAGAGTGTTTTACGGCGCTCGCAACTGCAAAAGGTCATATGGGCGCCAAGGGGTGGGTGTCAACAGAGAAGTCTTTACAGGGAATCAGACTTGCTCTGCTCACCTCTCTAGCTTCAACAGCACAAGGTCTGCTTCAACTATCAAGGCACCCTGGAAATAGCAGGTCACAAGAGTGTGACAAACATACAAAATAAGTAGAGGAAAATGACAATAGTATGGATTAGGAAAGAAAAAGCAGCAGTTCCCTGTTGTAGATCAGGCACAGTTATGAGCGTGACATGAATCAGCCCATTTACAATTCTACTGTGCTTGAACGACAAATGTCCCCCCTTTGGGAATGGCCTTGAGACACTACAGTCAGTGGCACTGCCCCAGGGGAGGCTTTTTTTTTTTTTCAACATTAACAAATTATGTATCATCAAAAACACTGATAGCCATTGATAATTTAACACCATATGCCAATATACAGTTGAACCTGTGTAAGACGGAATCGCAAGGGAGCGGGAAAAAAATTCCGTCTTAGACAGGGGAATTTAGGGGGGAGGCGGAGGGGGTCAAGGATTGCTTGTCCGATCGGCAAGCAGTAGTCAAAATTTCACACCTCACAGCTGCTATCCTGTCTGATAATGACATGCGTCAGTCTTACGTATCCAATTACCACCAGGGCTTGCCCTTCATAGGACTACTGTTTGACCTATTAAAAACAGAAACGTTTGAACATCTCATTTGCTTCCACCCTTAGCCCCACCCATCAATGCCACCCCTCACTGCCATTGTAGTAACAACGATTCGAGGAACTTTTTCTCGGCTGGTCGTTCGATCAGGGCGGCAGGCATTGGTCAATCTAATTTCACATCTCTGGCTTCTGGCTACCAAGGGAAGTTTCCGTAGTGGCTCACTACTCGAGCACTCTCACGGGCAGTTGTGAGATTTCACACCCACACTACACTGACCATCTGCATCGCTCAGGGCTCACATGATGGGGCAACATCTACCCCCAAATTGCACCCCTACTCCCCTTCCTCGCCCAGCGGCATGGCCATGGCGCAAGTTCAGAGCCGGCGGAACCAAACTAGCAAGTTTTGTTTCAAATCAGGGTTGAGCGGGCAAAGCATTTTCCGTCTTAGACAGGTGAAACCCTCGGAAGGGAGCAGATTTTTCTTTCCGTTTCCATGTTGGACAGATTTCCGTTTTAAACAGGTAATTAAAGAGGAATATATCAAGGGGGGAGCGGGGAGATTCCGTTAAGACAGGTTTCCGTTTCATACAGGTAATTAAAGAGGAATATATCAAGGGGGGAGCGGGGAGATTCCGTTAAGACAGGTTTCCGTCTTACACAGGTTTCCGTTAAGGCAGGTTCGACTGTATTACCTTCTTTTTCTGAAGGAGAAATTAATTTTAAAAAGGATGGCATGCTCTGAAATCGATCATCTTTTTGAGCTTGCTTCAACACATAAATGTTTTCAATCTTCTCACTCATGTTCTGTCCAAAATCCGATAAGAATAAAACGGAACACAGGTCTTCCACTGACGCCGCCTCTTAAAATTTACCAAACAGCATTGCAAGAAGTGTTAAACCTACACAATTTCGAACATTTTTTCCCCACTGAGTGAAATATCTGAAACGTCAATCCCTCTTGTTTTTCCTCTCAATCCTCACTAAAAATCAAAGTTCGAGGAGAAAATAATTGGGAGTCTCCATAATCCCAGTAGATTAAGATTATGTCACGAAGCGATTAAGGCAAACTAACATGAATTGCAAAAACACACAAAATGAAAATGTGTATTTTCATATCATTTACGACAAGTCGCACAAACATTGCAAATAAACACAAATAAATCTGTATTTTCATGTGATTTACCAAAGTTGACTCCTAAAGATGGAAATTAAATTAAACAAGAAATAAATGATTTTATGCGAATTCGACCAAGTTCTTCCATAGGTAAACACAAATTGGACGGCTCTGATTTTATCCAGGTGCTCGGCAGGTCTGAAATATGTACAAGTTTGTAAAAAAACATCACTGCATTTGAAGTCCAAAATATAATTCATAACAAAAATGGTGTGCTTCACTAAAAATTTCAATGATTCTAATAACACTGTATCAATTCAGCATAAAAAGAATTGGTTTAAAAATCAGATCAATGTATTTAAACTACTTGTAAAAGAAAGGAACCCTGCTTCACTAAAAATCACTGATGGGATGTAATTTGAATATTTTAGTACAATGTCGACACAAAACCAACCTTTTCGCATAAAGTTTTCACTTGGTTTTCCGAGAGTTGTTTGCAGTCATTGAGTTGCTCTATCCACTGATCCAGCTCCTTTGCGGAGGTGCGGTCATCGACAAAACTCATTTCCAATTCTAAGAACAGAAAGGTGAATAAAAATAAATATCACAAAAACTATTTTTGCAGAGACATTTTTAAGTGAATGTAAAAAAAGTAAAATTTACACCATTAACATGACATTAACCTCTTTTTTTTCCTTAATGAAACAAATACAAACTAAGATTTCTTTATAAAAAAAACAACACATTTTAAAAATTTGCTGAAAAAATGACAAGCTCACTGCTCTGAGGTCGACTTGACAAGAATCTGTCTTCTTTACCACCTGTGAATCTTTATTCTCAATCCCTATTCTAAACATATCACAGTGAATTATGTAGTACACCAATTCAAATGCATTTCAAGCTTATCACCTTTGCCCCCCCCCCTCCCCTCACACATAACATACTGCTCTAGACTGGTGCCAAGCTACATCCAATTCAGCCACCTGATTACTCTTTAAAAATCACAGAAAACTTCCCATCTCTTTTTAGACACAGTAGAGTCCACAAAACCAAAATCTGCTAGACCACCAGGTTGTCTTATGTTAAGCCAAGTTTTCGGTTTAGAGAGGTTGTCGTTTTCAATATAAACATGTTTGGTTGGAACTGACTTCACTAAATATAATTGAACCTGCTTTAGCAGTCACATCGTCATAGCAGTCACGAGTACAAACAGCCACTGGTTGTGACACCCAACTGTTTTCCCTACATTTTAATGCACCCATAGCAGTCCCTGTTCAACACGGCCAAGGTCAGTCGTTTTTAGCCTCAAAACCTGCTCATAACAGCCACATACAAGTTTTCCAACAAACTCATCCTCAGACTGTATTCAATCAAAGCAATGAAGCAGCTAGGCTTATTACCTGGCTACGCACTACTTACAAAACAAGAGGGGGGTTGGGACTTAATGAAGAGCTTACACAATGACCTGCTACTGCCCGACGAAAAGAGCACCCCACTGTTCCCACACTTTATGCAACACAATGTAATAAAACAATAATGTGAACAGTAAATGTCATGCAGTCATATGACATATGCCAGGCAGTGTAATGTATGTCATATGGTTGTCAGGGGCTGCCCGGGGCAAGAGATTTTTTTTTGCTTTCAGTGTTGTTATATTTTGTTATTAACAGCTATATAAATCTATTGGCAGCATTTCTGTTTTGAAAAGTTATCATGAGAATTCATTTTCAGACATGAAGAAAGTGACCATAACTCATACCCTGTCCATAATACCAATCTCTCTATATAATGGTGACTTCTTTCTGTGATCTTGGGTGACCATTACTATGATGAACAGGTTAGACTGTTCTACCTCAGAAACTTAATTGAATGAAGCTTTGACTTCTTGTAAGCTTGAAAGATAGGCTAGCTGACAAAAAGCATCAGTCTCGGATTTAGAAATGGAAATAAGCCTCTGACTCTTAAGCCACGTTTCCATGAGTACGTATGTGGAGTACGTAATGCCAAGTACGCAATGCGTAAAGAACGTTTAAATGAAAATTCAACTAAAGCGTAACCATGTGTGCGTGATGCGTATTCGAACAATCGAGTCATCGCTCGAATACACATCATGCAGGCATACGGACACCACAAGCTAGAAATTCCAGTTATTTACAAGAACTGTACGTGTTTCAGACGTTATGTTTTCATCAAACTAATAATATTAGCAATGACCACGAAAAACCTTATCTTCACAGAGCATGGAACTTTTTGAATTTTTGAAATCCATCAATAAACAAAAAAGTTACGGATTTTTTAATCAATTAACTTTTGGTACACTTTTA